GGAACTACAGCTGCCTGGTGGCGGAGTTCCACATGCGGCGCGCCATCGGCTTCCACTTCGTCCAGAGCTACCTGCCCACCACGCTGATCGTGGTCATCTCGTGGGTGTCCTTCTGGATGGACGTGGACTCCGTGCCGGGGAGGACCACGCTCGGCGTCACCACGCTGCTCACCGTCTCCTCCAAGTCGTCGGGTCAGTCGCTTTCTGTCTATTATTGTTTAAGTTTTTATGATGTTGTTTGTCACCATTCCGGGCCTATCCGCTGCCTGCCGTCTCCTTCAAGACGTCGGATGAGTCGCTTTCTATCTGTTACTACTATATAAGTTATTACGATGTCTGTCATCACCCCAGGCTTCTCCTCCATGACGTCGGGTCAAGCGCTCTCCAATTTTGTAAATGTAATAATCTTTCTCATGATATTTTCTGTCATCCCGGGCATCACAGCTGCTCTCCTCCTCGAAGTCGTCGGGGCAGTCGCTTTCTCTCTTTGTTATTGTTATCATTGTTATTATGACGCTGTCTCCTTTCCCGGGAGTCCACCTTGGTAAGCATTATCAGCGTGTAAACATTAAGCTGGGATCCCTAAGCTGGTCTTTATCTTCACGTAGGATTCAGGTGAGTGTCACGTACTCCCACTGCTTATCTATATTCATGCTATTCTTATCCTCCTTTTATCTTTCATCTTAGAGTCATCATACTGCTCTAAGTCTTGTAGAGAGGGTCATATGACTGCAAGTTTTCACCCGCTTTCAGAATTCATAGCTATCTCTTTTAAGTACCTTCACTTGACCCCCCCCCCCGGCCCCCTCCGACGAATCATGAAAATGCTTGTTAATGTGTGTTAATAGTAATTAATGTGGTTGTTAATAGTAGTAGGAAGAAAGGGGGAGGAGGAGTAGCACTATCATTACTATTAACATTATTGATGTCATCATAGAAATCATCATCATCATCAATACCATCCTCATCTTCCTCATTATCATCAACATCATCAACACCTTAAAAAAAAGCTCCCTCCCTCACCCCCACAACCCCTTCCCCCACCCCTATCCCCAGCACGCACCCCCCCCCGAAAAAAAAAAAAAAAAAAATGATAATAATACCAAATGTAATAATCCTTAATAACGATGATTATAACTATTAATCATAATATTGACCGTAATAATGATAATAAAAGCAATTATTACAATACTAATAATGATAATGAAAATAATAAAAGCAATAATAATAACAATAATGATAATAATAATAATAATAATGCTAAAAATAATAATCAGAAATATAGTAATCATGACAATAGAGATTATGATGAAAACAAACAATAAATGATAAGAATAATGATAATATTAATTGTAATGATGATAGTGATGATAACAATAATAATAATATTAATGATAAAAATGATAATAATAATAATGATAATAATGATTATAATGATAATAATGATGATAATGACAATAACAATTATAATGATAATGAATATAATGATGATAATAACAATAATACTGCTAATAATAATAAATAAAAAGATAAATTGATTGATAAATAAATAACAACGAATAGGAATAAAAGATTATAAAATAAACAAAACAAATGATAATAAGAGTAACCCACTTTATCACCCCAAACCGGCCCTTCACCCTCCATCCCTCCGACCCCAAAAGAGCCATTCATATGCTCCCTGGCACTCCTCTCCATTGGCACTGGGGTAGGTCTATGGGGGGCCACATGCCAAACTTGAGGTTAATGGGGCCTGAGTCCTGAATGGGGGCGGGGGAGTATGAGTAGAAGGGCATGTGTGTTACGTTCGTGAGTGACGGAGAGGGATGTGTGAATCTTTTATGAGTGAGGGAGAGATGTGTGAATCATTATGAGGGAGTCGTGTGTGTGGCTTTCAAGAGTGAGGAAGAGACGTTATTCCTTTCGTGAGTGAGGGAGAGACATGACTTCCTTTCATGAGTGAGAGAGAGACATGACTTTTCCTCTCATGAGTGAGAGACATGTCTTTTCCCTTCATGAGTGAGACATGACTTTTTCTTTAATGAGTGAGTGAGAGACATGACTTTTCCTTTCATGAGTGATGGAGAGACATGTCTTTTCCCTTCATGAGAGACATGACTTTTCCTTTCATGAGTGAGAGACATGACTTTTCCTTTCATAATTGAGGGAGAGACATGTCGTTTCCCTTCATAAGTGAGGGAGAATCATTTGTGTTACTTTCATGAACGAGGGAGAGCTGTAAGTATTTGTTTCATGAGTAAGGGATGCCATGTGTAGTTTTTTTCCGTGAAAGACAAATCCTTACGTATTTCATGCTTCGAAGACAGGCACTTGAAAGGAGACATTTCACGGGGTTAAAGTTTCTGTATTCAACAATCAGCACAAAAATTAGTGATTTCGAGTACACGATACTAGTCCTGGAGTCATATCATGTTTATTGTCTAGTGGTTTGTAAAAAAATATTGGAAATATATATAATATATAATATATATATAATATATATAATATATATATATATATATATATATATATATATATATATAATATATATATATATATATATATATATATATATATTATATATATATATATATATATATGTGTGTGTGTGTGTGTGTGTGTGTGTGTGTGTGTGTGTGTGTGTGTGTGTGTGTGTGTGTGTGTGTGTGTGTGTGTTGTGTGTGTGTGTGTGTGTGTGTTTGTGTGTATGTATGTGTGTGTGCATTTCTCTATTCATATATTTTTTTTTATTATTTATGTAAATGTTTTGTAGTAAGGATGGACATTAAGACTCTGTTACGACGGTGTTGAGCGAAAAATATCGTAGACGCTAACGTGTCTTCATTGTTTCTGCGTTTGGACTCCCGTCACTTAAAAGTTCTTTGCGTTTCCAGTTTTCACCCAGACTGACCCCCCCCCCCCACCCTCAAAAAAAAAGGAAAAAACATCTTGCCAGCCGTTTCCAGCTTCATACTATCTTAGGGGGCTTCTTTTCTCCTTTTTACAAACTGAAACGAGATTTACAGAGAGATAAACGGACACGTCAACCTATAATTTTTGTTGTTATTAGCCGTACTTAAAAATAAGCTATAGCGCTCACGAGTGTTTCGAAAAGTGCCAACTTTGAAAATAACCGCTACTACCAAGCGAACCAAAAATTATATTAGCCCGAAATTGGGTGACTTTTTTGCTCAACTATCACTTAAAATCGTAATTGCTAATTTCCTAGCGTACGCTAATATGATAAAAACTTAATTTGAGTATTCATTCGCACGCACATACACTTTATTACTGTCACACATACCAATGCTTTCTCTAGCATATACATGTATATTTACTTAATTAATTATATATAAGCATGCACATACACATATTCAGTATTTTGTTTTTACACAATGTTTATAATGAATGTTTTTTCCCTCAGTACTCACCAATCTTACTGCTTGCTCATATACATGTTCATATACAGTAGCCTAATAATATCACATTGCTTTATAATCATCTTTTATGTGAAAATGCTGCACGGAAATTGTCCAAAAGGAAGGATATGGTGACCGTACCCTGAATCCTCTCTATGAAATACATAGAACTCGAATGTTTTGCTTTATATCGCAGATCAGAGTCTCTAGTAGGATTGCTTGCGGCAGTCGTGGTATCTGAGTCCCCTAGTAAATATCCTATGTATTGACCCGGCTATAATATCGGGCGGCAATCACTATTTGCATAGATATGGGACAAGGACACATAATATGATATGTATCATAACGATGGAGTGCTTGAATCTTGCAGTAATGTATTTTTATATACATTTACTGATAATTCATAATTATCTGCAAATGTCTATTGTAATCCATGTGTAACCATTCACTCCAAAGTAATAGGGAGATGTACACAGAAAATAATATTAGTCATGAGTATTATTTTCTGTATGTATGTGCATATGTATATATGCATATGCATACGCACACACACACACACATATATATATACATATGTATATATATTTATACATACATATATATGTATATGTATGTGTGTGTATATATTATATATATATATATATATATATTATATATATATATATAATATATATATATATATATATAATTATAGTGTGTGTGTGGTGTATGTGTGTGTGTGTGTTTGTGTGTGTGTGTGTGTGTGTGTAATTCATGTCGAACGAATTGCAAAAGGAACAACGAAGGGGAGGACAAGAAAAGACACGAATATGCCGAAGGACTTTTCGCTATTGCTTCGTTAGGGAATACATGCCATGAAGTATATAGAGGAGTATTTATACTAATGTTCGGTGGTCAGGCCACGTCGGTAATCACGTGAGCGACGACCTCGGATAGTTCGTGGCTCCCCGTAGCGGTGTTGAAGTTATTTACTTTATGAATGAACGCCGCTTCTACCGTCTTCCTTTGTCGTGGGGACAGGCCTTGTTTTATGATGGAACCTTGTGACCGCTTCGTGAGGTGACTGTCAGTGTCTACGTGAACAACAAAGGCGCTTCTCGTGTCGTGGCGTCGAAGGGCGCTACGGTGTTGGCTGATTCGTTGTTCGTGCATTCCTCGCGCTGCCTCACCTATGCCTCCGATCTTCTTGCCTGAAGACGTAGCCATCTTTATAGTGTGGTCCACTAGGGCCTCCAGGTGTTCAGTCAATTCCGAGAGAGGGATGATCTTTATTTGAGTCTTGCTCTGTGTGTCGTCACCCCTCGGTCTGCTCATGATCTTTTCGGCCTTGCGTCGGGGGCGGATAAGCATGGACCCAGGATAATGGAGGTATTAGAAGGTGTTACATTTCTTGACCACCTAACATTAATATAAATACTCCTCTCCGCATATACGTGTGTGTGCGCGTGTATGTGTCTGTGAGTCTGTGTCTATGCGTGGGTGACTTAATCCCCAGTGATAAACCCGCTCAATATTAGCGGATCCTTGAGCCTGACGTTTCATCCTATAGGCTTACCTCTAGACGGCGGGCGAAGGGGAAATCTCGAAGGCTTCCGCCCTCAAAGCTGGTCCTTTCCAAGAAGGGGAGTCGCTTTCATTTCGCCTCTCGAGACTCAAAGAAAATGAATCGTTTTTTGAGGAGGGACTTTTATTTTTTAACGAACTAGTTTTTAAGGGATTATTGCGGTTAGATTGTTACTTTGTAGTGTCTTCGTTCAGTGTTTTGTTGTGTAAATAAAGTTTAGCTTATATTTTTTTATTACATTTGTAGCAGAGTTTTTATTTTCTTTTTAAACGTTAAAACTCGATGAAGAACATGACTGTTATAATGTATCAAAATCATATTATGTCTTAAAACAAGGTCAATCGAGATTATATTATTATGTTCCGGTATAAATCCAGTTAGCTATAGGATTGCTTAGAACTTCATGGCCGTTTCCTTGTAATTTTATGTAATTAGTATTTTTTTTTTTTTACTTTGCTTTGGGGAGAACCATATCAATTTCTGGAACGGACTAAAATTATAAGGTTTACACTTGATAGTGAATAAGAAATCGCATATGCTCCAACTGAAAATAATGATAATAATAAGATGAAGGGAATGATAAATATTACTCGTAGCAGCAATACCGATAGAAGTGATAGTAAATCATTGAAATTATGTCAGAAAAAAATAATGAATGGTTTGTTTAATTATCTGAACTTTACTCCAAAACATATGAACTTTTAAACTCCCGGCGCAATTAATGCAGGTACAGATCTTAAGAACATATCCTGAGTATACTGTGTTTCTGTCCACAAGTAGACGCTCACATAAAATTACATCAAAGAGCAAAGTTACGCCCCGAAGTTCTCTCTCCAAAAAGACGAAACTGTTGATTTATTCTGAAAGAGGTCACTTAGTCCGACACTGAACGGTAATTTTTGGGAGGCAACTTGCCGTAACATCTGGCCGAATTCCCTGAGACCACATGTAAGCAAAGGCGAATTATATCTTGGATTAGAACCCAAAAGAATATGAATGTTCTAAAATAATTCCGTTTGATGTATGTCAATGAACACAGATTCTTTGCTGTTGAAAATTATACATCCGTTTCACCTCCACTGCGCTGACACACACGACAGGATAAAAGGCAGTAACTTTTGTCAATAATTCTTATCAATTCTCTATTCCTTTTCTTTTGTTTTCTTCCCTTTTTATTTAATTTATTGGGCAACGCTATCGAATTCTCAACTCTCGTGGGAATGTAGCTTTTGTTACTATGGAAAAGCTGAAGTTAAAATTGAACTCTGTGTGTGTAAATATATTAAACAGTTGGAAAAGTAAATATGTATTTTAACCAAAATACATTTGCATTAAACCTTCTTATTACAAAATCCAATAAGCAAAAAGCCAACATACGGATTCAAATGAGATTTCTTTACCTCTCGTGATCTTAATAGCTAAAAGAGAACATCCTTTCTGGCTATTTCTAGATTCGTTATGCAAAGAGGCACCTTCCATTCGTCAAAGAGGTGTTCAAGTCATGTTCTGAAGTACTGCTCGTGACTGAAGCTCCGAAACTTTACGTGTTATTACATTTTCGAAACAAGGTTCGAGTCATGTTGAAAAGCGATTTAGACGTGACTGTAGTGCACAATATATTTTGTTACCTATGCAGTTGTTACTCGAAGAGTACATAGCAAAATGACATTGACTAGAGAAGACATATCTTAAAAACGTGTAGCTATGTCTCAAAGAGTGAAAAATGAAAATAAAAGTCGTAGAAATGACAGAAATACACACACACACACACTCACACTCACACACACACATACACGCACACACATATGTATATGTATATGTATATATATGTATGTATATATATATATATATATATATATATATATATATATATATATATATATATATATATTCTA